AGGGGTAGAGAAAGACAAGGTTCAGCCACTGGCAACTGGGCACTTCCCTTGCCCTGTTGGCCCAGGACCTTGACCACAGCCAGAGCGAGGGTTAGGTCTGAGGCTGGTCTGCAGTCCTCGGAGGGTCTGGCAGGAGCGACAGAAGAGCGTGGGGACTCCAGGGACATGGCCGGGCCCAATGCCCTCTGCTGGCCTGGAGGCCTTTCCTTCTGTGCCCTCCCTGCTGTTCCAGCGCTGCTTCATTAATATTCCTGCTTTTCTGCTCAAACAGGGCCAGAATCAGAGCCTAGTCCCTCCCTATCTGGCTGGACGACCTCTAGGCTCTTGCTGGCCCTCGTGCTCTCCCAGCTAGGACCCTGGAGACACTCTCAGGGATCTGGGTCCCTTTTCTGCCCTGCACCGTCAGATCTCTGGGGTGAGGACCCCCCCACCGCACCCAACAGTCCTCCGGGCCCTCTGAGGGCTGCCCCAGAGCCCAGGGCAAAAGGTGTGGGGGATAGAGGCTTCCAGCTCTCCCCAGGAACTGAAGTGATATGAGGGGGCCCGGTGTAGGGTGTCTAAGGTGGGGGGAGGTATACAAAACCCCTGAGAACACAGTGGTGACGGGCCAATGGCAGGTCGGAAGGGCAGAGTGAGAGCAAGAGGCTGGGGTGGGGAGGGTGGAGGGAGAAAAATGAATGAGAGAAAATGAGAAAGGACGCTGGGTTGGGGGGGCAGGGGGCATGCGGCCATCAGGAGCCACAAACGCACCAGGCTGTCAGTCAACGCGCACGTGCACACGCACAGCATGGCACAAACCCCACGCACATGCAGACGGGAGACGACACACCACAGAGCCAGCTCACCCGTTTTTACACACAAATGTGTGCATGCACACACACACAGACACACACACACACACACCCCACCACAAAACTGCCCAATCTAGTCCCACTTACATACACACACAAGGACCAACAGGGCCAGACACCCACCCGGCCTCTCACACACACCCCCACGCACACAGATGTCCCCTCCTCATCTGCTCCCAGACCCACTGGCACCTGCCCTGGGGCCCTGGCAGGGCTGTTTACTTCCATCCCTGCGCTCCCCTCAACCTCCCAGGAGATTCTAATCCAATCCCACCTTCTCCAGAGGCTTCCTCGACTGCCCGTTGCCCCTCAGAACCCCCAACCCTGCTGCCCTGTGCCTTCCCTCCAAGGCACGGTGGCCCCTCCACTTCTCCCTACCCCACCCCCACTGCAGCAGAGGGATGAGGTCCTTCCTGCTCACTACAGTGTCCCTGGGCCCAGGGCTACACAGCCTAGGGGAAGCAACACAGGTTTGCTGAACTGTTGGGGTGGATCAGCTGGCGCAGTTTGCGCACCGGCCCAACTTTCTCTCCCTCTTGCTCAGGCATGCTTGCACACGCACGAACACTCGTGACCCCCTTGGCAGGCGACAGACTCCCAGCCAGTGAGGGAGCCTGTTTCCTCCTCCAGGGAGTCCAAATCTGAGCCCGAGAGGAAGGGAGGAGCGGGAGGTGAGAAGACACAGAGGAAAAGACTGGGTGGACCAGACGCTGATGATGTGGAAAGACAAAGTGAGAGTGAGGGGAAAATGTGTGCATGCGCGCGTGCACACACACGCGCGCGCGCGCGCACACACACACACACACACAGCATGGGGGACAGGGGATGGCATTCTGCGGCCAGGGCAGCGGTTAGGTCAATGGTGCAGACGTCCAAGCGGCGATGACAAAAAGGCTGGTACCTGCTCGTTGGGACGGGGCAGGAGCAGGGCTTAGAGTGATCACAATAACTGGATGGGGAAAAGGAAGAAAAAAAAACAACACCACGATAAATCACAACAGAAACAACTGATTCGTCCAAAAGAAAAGAAATCAAATCATAATGAGGAGGAGGGGGAGGCGCAAAGATGGGTAGAAACCGACAGAGATGGGAGGATGGGATGGAGCAGACACAGACACCTGGAAGGGGGCTCCCCGGGGGCCTGCTCGCCATGAGCCTCGCCGTGCATCACTCTGCATCTGGGACAGCCGCCCGAAGGAAGCCCAGGCCCGGTACCCAGGACTGTCTCATCCACACTGGGGCTGGAGTGGGGGGAGCAGCACTGTAGAGACCAGCAGGAACCCTCTAGTCCTGGCCGGGCTTCCTACCCCAGGCAGTGTCCAATGCCAGCACTACCGCCTCAGGCTTTCTCTGGACCCCCAAGAACAACCCCCATCTCCAGCAAGAACCCACGATGACCCAGGTTAGAAGAGGGAGGGATGGGGAGTGGACCCTACACAGGGATGAGGGTCAGGCTGGGTGAGCAGGGAGATAAGGAGGGTTCTTGCCCCTCTGTCAGGATGACCCCACAGGGAGCTCCAGAAAATACAAGAGTCATTTCAGAGGGGATTAAAAAAAGACAATTTGCTGAGTCAAGAGAGACACAGAAAGCATGTGTGTGGGGGGCAGAATCTGATTCTCTCTGAGCTGTGAGGATCTGGGGAGGGGGTTCTGTATGATGTAACAAGGAGACTAGATGGGGTCGCAGTGATCCCAGGCCAGGTGTGGGTGTTGACTCCAGATGACAAGATGCCAGGGAGGTAGGCACTGAGATCAGGGAATCAGAAAGGAGGTGCAGGGGCACTAGGATGCCTAGACAGCATCACACTGGGGCCTCAGGTGTCCCTGAGCTGGATGGGTGTGGATGTGTGCAGAGAGGAAAGTCACTTGACTCAAGATGACAAAGTTACCAGGCTTGGGAGTTGGGTGTGTATTTCTGGAGGAGCCAGACACAGGTGCTAAAATGGTGGCAGTGAAACTAGTCAGAGGAGCATGGGGGACCTGGTGTATGTGAGTAGGCTGTATGTGGAGGGGGGGATTTGCTGTGACAAGGTCCCAGACAGGGGAAAGGGAGCTCCAGACACAGTTACAAGGAGGGAGGGAGAGAATCAACAGATTGGAGGTACAAGGGGTGGTTATACGTGGACAAGTGAGCTCAGGTGTCCCCAGGCCAGGTGTGTGTGTGCTAGCGTGAGTGGATCATCTGCTGAACCTGGATGACAAGAACCCAGCTGCGGAGCGCAGGGAGGGGGCCTCTTGACACAGTCCCTGAGATGCCGGGAGAGGAATCAGCTGGTCAGAAGGGATGTGTCCATGTCTACGGAAGGGCTGGATGTGGTCGCGGTCGCAGGGAGTAGGAGCACGGCTCGCGGGTGATAAAGGCTCTTGAGGATCACAGTGATGGGGGAGGATCAATAGACGGGAGGCCTCGCCAGGAGCCGGGTAACTAGGCTCCCAAACCCCGTAACGGGGAACCCTCAGGCAAGGAGAGGGCTGCCCAGGAGCCCGCCGGCCCCACGCGCCCCGGGTCACCGTGACCCTCTCCCCGCGAGCGGACAGCGGGGAAGGGGGTGGAGAGGGGGAGGAGCAAGAGCGCCCCGGAAGCAGGGGCGGGGCTTAGACGCGGGGGCGGGGCCTCCGCAGCGCGCGTCCCGCCCCGCCCGCCCCCTCCCCCACGCCGCCGTACTTACTGGGCCTGGGCCGCTGGGGGCTGATATCCAGGTTGAGGTCGATCCTCCGCCGGGCCTCGCGGTTCTCCTGCTTCAGCTTTGCTTCCAGGCGGGACAGCTTCTGCTCCAGGGAGGACGCCGCCATCTTCCCCGCCGCCGCCGCCGCCGCGCACCGCCCGGCCGCCCGTCAGTCCGGCAGACAAACACCGCACTGCGCCTGCGCTGGGATGACCCCGCCGAGCCGCCGTCTCGCTCCTCACGGCGCATGCCCGCGGCGCGCACCCGCCCTTCACGCGTGCGAACCTCCGCGCGTGCGTGTTTCGTCCCAGCCGTAGGGATGACGCCACCTAGAGCTTGCGCCTGGCAACGTGCAAGTCCGCCCACTATGATGCGCATGCGCGAATTCCCGACAGCTCCGGCAAGAGGCGCTGTGTGGAAATCCGTTCGCCTTTTCGCCCGGAGCGGTGGGTGGAGAAAGTAGCGCGCAAGCGTACAGAGCTGGAGACCAAGTCACCCGCGTGGCATCCGCTGCGCATGCGCATCCTTGGCAGTTTTCCCGGCCGCTGTCCCTGGTGGTCGCCAGGGCTGTTTGTGCCCAGGCTTGCTCTCTCTTCCTGGCCCGGCCTTCGCTGGCACCCACGCCTTCTCAGAACTGCCTTTCTCAACTCGGACAGTGCTTCATTAGGATCTCTGTTATGCTTAATTGCTGCCTCCTCACCGTAATTAGGCACCCATGGGAAGCCCTTTCCATTTCAGCAGCCCCAGGGTTGGCAGAGGACAAGCAGGAGAGGAGGGGTAGGGCACGGGCCACTGGGAATCCGACGGCGTGACCCCTGATCTCGGCGACTGGGGAGGGGGGGCAAGGTCAAGGCAAGGGAGTTCCAAGTCAGACTTGCCTGGGACATTGTAAGACTTCCCCAACCTGTTCTGCCCCCAGAATGTGAGCCTAGCTCCTGGACAATGCAGAAGACAAGCCCTGGTGGTGCTGCCACACTCTACACATTTTCTTTAACTGGTCTGAAGAGTGCTGGGAAAATGTCCCTATCTGGAACCCTGGGTCCCCCGGAGCACAGCTTGCCTCTGCTCTCTGGTCCCCCGGAGCGCAACTTGCCTCTGCTCTCTGGTGCACGTTTTGCAGACACCTTGAAGGTGGCTGATCCCAGGAGGTCAGGGTCAAGTAGGCTGTGCCTGTGCCTTGCCTGCTCCAGCACAGGAACACTGATGAACGTTGAAGGCTTGTGGAAATTCTTACGGGTGGAACAGACGCAAAAACTGTGGAGCCAGGAGGATAACAGGGAAAGCAGAGGAAGAGCAGTTCTCTAGGAAAAGTTATGATGCTACCTAATTTCTCCTGGTTGGCTGAGGTCTTTTTCTGCCTCTGCTCACGGTCAGAGACTCATATGTACCCTTGACCCTGTCACGTGACTTGCCACTTGCTGCGTTTTGGTTTGGTGAAATCAAAAGCTTAGACAATGTGAGGAGTGGACACAAGAGATCAGAATTACAGTTCTCATAGTATTATTTATTGAGCGCTCACTGATGTACACTTCCTCACATGGGGAACATTTGAAAGACAAAGTCCCTGCCTGTCCTTAGAAAAATGTACCTTCCACAGCAGGTGTTCTTAACCTGGGGTCCACAATCCTTAGGGTGTCCCTGACTAGCCCTCTGGGGGTTCTGGAGGAATCTGTTAAAATGCCTGAAGTTGTTTGCAGAACTTTTCATGCATGTGTTCATGAGCATTTTCCTGAGGAAGGAGATGCCCACCTTTTATCAGATTTCTCAAAGGGTCTAGGGACCAAAAAAGAAGTTCAGAATCCCTAATCTAGACACCCAGATATCTGCTCTGTAGGCCAACACTTCTCAACATACAGGCCTGGAACCACCTGCATCAGAATTACCTGGGATGCTTATATTTACAGACAAGTTCCTGACCTCCAGCCAAGCCTCCTGAGTCAGTCTTTCAGGGGTGGGGCCTGGAATGTTTTGTTTGGGGGATGTTGATTTTGAGGAATTGCCAAATATGAGAACCATTTTTCTGAATTCACATGTCTGTGGCAAACAACTCATAAATAGGAGATTAGCATCAAAGTTAGGGGTAGGAGGAGCCAGTCCCTTGCGTCTGTGTCCCCTCCTTGGGAGAGAACTCCAGATATAAGCTGTTCTGGTCAGGGGAGAGGATTGAAATCCCATTGGGATGTGCCCACCCCCCCATACGTGGCACTGTTTGAATTAGACGGGGGAGGGCAGGAGTTCTGGCCCAGGGCTGGGAGCAAGCCAGCCAGCCAAAGACACAGGTGTGGTTTTGGTCTGAGAATCTGATGACTGAGTTAATCCCTCCATTCTGCTCAACCCCAAATCCATGGCCTCCCATCTCTCCCCAGACAAACCAGTCCCGGGATCTTGCCTAGGCCCCAGCAGCCTGATATGTCTGCTCCCCGTCTCCTGACCTGAACCCACTTGGCCACCTCCCTTGGAGATGAGGTAGCATCCGGAAGGCCTCTATCTCCACCTGCCCCTCCTGGCTTCAATCCACCTCCATCCTGTCCCGCACCTCTGCCGGCAGCCCCTCATAAAGGGTGTCCTCCACCAGTATCCCTGCCTTCTTGAGCCCTCCACAGTGGCCGAGTTCTTCGGGCAGTGCCTCTAGCTGGTTGCCCTTGAGTTCTAGGCGGCTGAGGGCCCTGAGGGCCCCCACCTGGGGCGAGAGCTGGCGCAGGTGGTTGTATCCAAGGAGCAATGTCCGCAGCTTGCGGCAGGAGAAGAGCTCATCGGGCAGGAACTCCAGGGCATTGTAGGAGAGAGCCAGGTGCTGCAGGTTCTGGAGGAGGCCCAGCTCGGCCGGCAGGGAGCGCAGCCCATTGTGGGAGACGTCCAGCAGGCGGAGACCGGAGCACATGCCTAGCTGCGGGGGTAGGGTCTCCAGCTTGTTGTGGTTGAGATAGAGCTGTTCGAGGCCCCGAAGCTTCCTCACGTGCTCGGGGACATAGGCAATCTGGTTGTGCCACAGCCGGAGCGTGACCAGCTTGCGGCAGTGCTGGAAACTGAGGATCTCCTCGATGGACCGCAGGTGGTTGTCCTTGAGATCGAGTTCCTGCAGTGCGCCCAGACTGAAGACGGCGTGGGGGATGCGCTCCAGCCCACAGGCCACCAGCTCCAGCTCCCGAAGCACCGCCAGCTTCTTGAGGCTGTTCAGTGCCAGCAGGCGGGCCCCGTCATTGTGCAGGCTGAGCCGTTGCAGGTGCCCAGCCACGTCGGTCACGCTGGCTGGCACCTTACCGGCGTTGCTCCGCAGAGACAGCACCTTCAGCTGCTTCAGCTCCCGGAGGCTTTCGAGGGTCGCCGCCCGGGCCAGCTCCGGGGGAAAGAGCCCCTCCAAATGCAGCTCGTCCAGGCCCCGCAGTCCGAACACCCAGAGGGGCACCTCGCGGAGCTCCTCGCACTTGACCCGGATGACTTTCAGGCGGTCCCGCAGGAAGACCTGGGAGGAGAAGGGCAGCCTGGCAGGTGAGTGGAGCAGGCTAAGCTCCTGCAGGTGCACCAGCTGCGAGAGGCCCGGGGGGAAGGTGATGTCGCAGATGGCCTCCAGCCGCAGTGCCTCCAGCTCGCTGAGCTCGAAGACCGTGTCAGGCAGTCCCGGGAGCATGCAGAGGGCCAGCTCCAGCCGGCCCCGGGCGTTGCGCTGCAGTTTCTGCCGCAGTTTCTCAGCTGTCCACTCGTGGTTGAGGTTGAGCTGTTTCAGGCGGCTTTCGCTGACCTCAGAGAGGAAGACAGCAAAGCGCTTCGAGTAAAGCGAGTCGTACTGGTCAATGAGGTGCAGCATGAAGGCAAAGTCGTTCTTGACGTCGGGGATGTCCCCCATGCCCGTCTCCTCCCGCACAGACCGGAAGGAGTACTCCTTGAGGGGCCGGTGGAAAAGCCAGTAGAGCGTGTAGAGGCAGGTGATGCCATAGACGCACACGAAGGAGATGTAGCAGAAAGCCAGCTTGGAGAAGAGGTGGGCTTTGGTATGGTTACAGCAGAAGCTGGCGTAGCCCGTGACCTCTGAGGTCTCCACCCTGCAGGCCACCAGGAAGCTGATCTTCTCCACGTAGACAAGGTTGTAGACCAGGATGGCAAAGAACTTGCAGACCTTGAGCACCATCTGCCGGATGTACATGGTGTACAAGATGTCCCCCTCTTCCACATGCACGCGGAATTTCTTGACTTTCTCGAACAGGGCTTTGGCCTGCTCACCCTCCTTCTTGTCCAGCAGGGTGACAGCTGGTGGCTCAGTCACCACCTTCTCGGGCTCCACCAGCACCTTCTCCTTCTCACCCTCACCAGCCTTCCCCGGCCCGGCAGCAGCTGCCACGGTCACCATTGCCCGCCCAGCGGTGGGGCCCTTGTGGTTCTCCCCAGAGACCTCAGACAGGGCCCGCGTGGTCCACGGTGAGTCGAAACACTTGCCCAGGATAGAGATGAAGTGCTCAATCTTGGAGCTGGTGCCAGGGAATTTGAACCAGAAGCTGGTGCAGACCATGAAGATGAGCGTGTGGATGACGACCAGGTAGGGGAAGTACTTGGCATACCAGTGTAGGGCCGTCTCATAGCAGAGCTGGTTAATGAAGCTGTACTGCTGCAGGTCCAGGTTGTTCTTGAGGCCGCTCACCTCCCGGAGATCCCCCATCTGCTCCGAGACCCCCCGAGGCAGCAGTTGCTGGCATGGGGCCTCCGATAAGTTCTCCCGGGGTTCGTGACTGGGCAGACAGATGATCTTGTCCTGGGTCACCTGGGGATGGGGGAGAGGCCAAAAGAGGGTGAAGAGGCTGGGTGGCCAGGAAGTTGCAGCAGGGTGGAGGGGAGGAAGCAGGCTGAAGGCAGAAGTGGCCCCGATCAGTCCCCAACTGTCCCCAGCTGGCTGTGACTTTGGAGGAGTCAATAAAGCTCTGAGCATCAGAGTTTATCTGAAAAAAAGAGCCAGGTTAACTGTGTCCCTGGAAAAGATGTTGAAGTCCTAACCCCCAATACCTGTGAATGTGGCCTTGTTTGGAAATAGCCTTTGTAGAGCAGATGTAATCAAGTTAAGGTGAGGTCGTTGGGGTGGGACCTAACCCAATAGGACTTTGTCCTTATGAAAGGTAGAAATTTGGACATAGAGACACAGACGCACGGACACACACACACAGGGAAAAGGCTCTGAAGATACAATGAGAATGTCATTTATAAACCAAGGAATACCAGAGGCCACCAGAATCTAGAAGAGAGGCATGGAGCACATTCGCCTGCCTCTCCTGTCAACACTTAAGAGTTCAGACATCCAGTCTGTACAACTGTGAGACCATAATGGGGAAGACTTCCGGAACCCAAGCCCCGCCCCCAGAGACCCCGCCCCGCCCCTTACCTGGAGGGTGCAGCCGAAGACCCCGATCATGAGCATAGCCACCGTGAGGTACTCGGCCAGCACGTCCCACCAGGGTTTGAGCACCTTGAAGGCGGGCTGCTGCTCCGTGAACTGCTTGAACTCTGCCACGGGAATCATCCCGTCTACGGGAGCGCCTGTGGGAGAGCAGGAAGCAGCGGGAGAGACCCTCAGAAGGGGGCGCCTGGTGCTGGGTCCTCAGAAGAGCCAGACACAGTCCTCTGCTCCCAGTCCGCGCTCCACCCTGCCCAAATCTGGCAGAACCCACAAGCTGCGTGCTCCCGTACCCTCCCCGCCCCCCACCAGACCTCCGGGAGGCCAGCGACTGCGGGCCTCACCTCCTCTGCTTCCTGGGACCCCTGCTTGCCCTCTCAGAGCTCAGGAGGGGCAGTCTACGGGGCCCCTGCCCCACAGCTTGCCCGTGTGGCCTTCGCCCGGAACCCAGGCATCTCCTCCCACTCTTGACGCCAATCCCGAAACACTGGCTCTGCTTCTCTGACTCCAGACACCCAGTAGTCAGGCGGCCAGCCCAGGCTCCCTCCACCACAGGCCCAGAGAGAGTCCCGAGGCTCAGGACTTCCGGGGCGTGGGGCCCCCCCACCCCCTTCAGGGGCGCTCTGGGCACCACCTCCAACCTCCAACCGGAAAAGCCGGCTGGAGCCTGGCTCTGGTTACGGGCCCCAGGGGCAGGGAGTGGAGAAGCTGAAGGCCGGTCAGCCCTCGGGGGTGGTGACAGTGACTGGGACACCTGGATTTCTAGAGGGGCTAGTGTCCAGAATCTGAGGCAGAAAACCGAGACCTGGGCTCTGAGAGGCAGGGCAGGAGAGTGCTAGGATGGGCCGAGGGGCAGAGGAGCAGGAAGTGGAAAACTCTCAGGGGAAGAGCCAGGGTGACACCTAGGACTGGGACAGGGCTGGGCTGCCAGGCTCCTGGGCGGCCGGCCCACTCTGTCTGTCCCTGGGTTTCATTTTAGACCAAGGTATCATTATTCCAGATACAGACAGCCAGGCACAAGTCACATAGGGGCGTGGGCCATGTGCTGGGACGTCATCCTCCCAGGCAGGCAGGTGGGGAGCCTCATTCTCTCTCCCTGAGACTGGAGGGGGGAGGAGAAGGAGGCAGCGAGGCCCCCACTGTCTCCGAGGAGGCTCCTAGGCCGGTCCGTCCCTCCCAGCATCCATGCTCTCCAATATGCAGTTTTCTCACACAGCCTGCTGTCCTCACCCTGACAGCCTGTCACTGGGCATGCACTGGCCAAGGAAGGGAGGTATCTGGGCCACCAGTGGGTCCTCCAGCCTCCCACCCATCTCCTGGGGGGGAACCTGGCCCATGTCCCACACCTCAGCCAATTGCTCTGACACCTCTATGCCTCTCTTTTGGTCCCCATAACCCTTGAAGGCCTTAGGGGCTACTCCTGAGTGAGGACAAGGTAGGGGTGGGCAGGAATATAGGATGTAGGCCCCACCCACCAGGATGAGAGCAGACAGTCCACCACACCCCTTAATCCCATCAGAGGCTCCCACCTCTGTCCCAGGGATGGCATGCAAGGGACAGGGACACACCTGCACACACCCTGTATACCTGGGGCCCCGACTCAAGCCCTGACTCATCCATCACCAGGCTCACGCAAGGGGGTACACAGACAGCACAGGACTCCTCACCCAGTGGCCCATCCCTCATGCTGTTTCTTGTCCTGTCCTAAACAAGGGGTAGGAGAGCATAACTCAGTGTTAGAGTGCATGCTCAGTGTGCATGAGATCCTAGGTCCAGTCCCCAGTACCTCCATTAAAAAAAAGAGATTGTCCTAACCAACAAGGAGAGTAAAGATGCCCAGTGCATCACAGTCTTAGGCACTGGGGAATCTGGAAGAAATACACCCAGGGCAGCTCAGCAGCCCTCAGGGGCCAAATTGCAGCCACCAAAACGGACACATGGGGGCGTTCTAGAGCATGCATATCAGTGTCTGTGTATGAAGTGCAAGGACACACTGAGCTGAGGGGAGACCCAGGACCAAGGAGCCAGCCATATGCCCCCTTCCACTTCTGGCTACCTGTCCCTTCAAGGGATGCTGCTCCACTGCTTAACTGCAGAATGGTAACTCTGGGGCTGTGGCAGAATTGCCAGACAGATGGGCAGGGACCAACTTCTTCAGGCCTCTGAGTCCCTGCCACCCATCAGGACCCATCTCGAAATGGAGGAAGGTCTGCCACTGACCATCCTGGGTCCACAATTAAAGACAAAGCAGAGACACCCAGGGTCCCCAGCGGATGGCCTAGAGTCTCCCTTGGAACAAGGTGTATACACAAGAGCATCAGAGGCAGACATGGGGTTATCATTATCTGTCTCCGTGACTCAGTCTCGGTCATCCCAAACCTACCATTAAGCTTCCGCAGACACAGGCTGACCCCCTTTTGTCTAAACAGGGCTGGTGGGAGGGCTCAGGGAGAAGGGTTCATGGGGGCATGGAGACAGAGAACTTAACTTACAGCCACTAGACCCTCAGTGCCTCATTTTATCCCTGGGATGTAGGGACACTCTTTCTCCAGACTTGGGGTAGTAAAATAACCTATTGAAGATATCACAGCTACAAGTGACATCTGAGATGGGACCCCCAAGTCCCCTCTGTCTGATTGCCTGTGCTGTTCCATGCTGAGTGAAAACGTGTGGCTGAGATGAAGCATCTTTGCCAAAAGAACCTCATAAAGGGGTTCCTTCCGGCAGACAAGAGATGGTGTGGGGGATGGCTGCTCTGCACACCAGGCCGGGGTGTCTTTGTCAGACTGAGACCGGGCACAGGCCCCTACTCAGCCTTAGCTCCACCCACCCATGCCTCCACTTGCTGCTTCTCTCTCAGGCCCTCCCCCAGTCCCCAGCTAGCCTCCAGACACACAGGCGGCGGCGGTGGTGGGTGCTCCTGGTCTAGCCACCCCCTCCCCGCCCCGTCCCCACCCACAGGCCATGCTAAGGGACAAAGAAGAAACAGTGACATTTGTCAGCCCTGCAACTGTCCTTGGAGGGCACAAGGTCCAACTTTTGACTTTTACACAAGGGAGAAACTGTGGCCTGGGTTGGGGAGGGTGGCCCAGTAGTCACAGATCCTGTTCTGGGACCCAGGCCTGGGGACTTACAACCTAGTAGTTTTCCAAGCTGCCCTGCCAGGGCTTAGGGGTCCGGAGTCAGACGGGGGAGTCAAGTCTCAGAAGGGACAGCCTGGTGAGGCCCCCACGTGGTAGGAGTCTGCAGAGTTGAAGGGCTCACAGGGATGAGTTAGCAGCAGCGGAGGAGAGGGAAAAAACATGGTGAAGACTCCCAGAGTGGACCCCAACCTGTTGATCTTCACTCCGTCCTTGGCCAGGCCTGCTGGGCTCCCTGGACAGGCGCCCTTGGGCTGGCCAGAACCGGGCCTCTCTCTGCCCGTGTCCCCACTTCCACCCCTCCACCCTTCCCTGGCTCCTTGTGTGCCCTGGAGGCAGGCATTGGGCTCAGGTCACAGTGCCAGCCGCACCTGGGGCCGACCTCCCGTCGGTCAGATCCTCACCCCACAAGCCCGGTCCCCAGGGGCGGAGAGTCACCCACTCACCGCACAGGCCGGATGCTGGTTCCAACTGTTGTGTCCCTGGGACCCGCGCGGCCCGGACTCCCGCAGAGTTCCCGGGCCAGGCTGGGTGAGTCAGGGCGGGCGGGCGGGAGGAACAGGAGGCGGGAGCCGTCCCGCCCCGCCCACCGGGCGTCTCGGCCCCACCTCCCTTAGGGCGCTCCCAGGTCGCCCCCCGACTCCTGGCACTGCGGGATCGTGGCGGGGAGGACGATCCTCATCCTGATGTCCCCGAAGTGAGCTAGGGGCTGGTCAGAGGAGCCGAGGGCCTTAGAACTCTGGGCTGTGCTGCAGTGGGGCGGACCTGGTGTGGGGAGGGGTGTGGAAACTGAGGGGGGCTGGAGGCGCTGGGTTCCCAAAACCAACCTATGGGCACCCTTCTGGGAGCCAGGCTGTATCGATCCTGTCAAGAACGCGTGAAAGTCCTCCTCCTCCCTTCACCTCCAGGTGCAGAGCCACCTGGCCTCAAGGCTCAATCAAGGAACCAGTGACCAGGGCCCAGGGGAAGCTGGGCAGAGTAGGGGCTGACCCTGCCCAGCCCTCCAATGGGGGAGGAGAGGGAGCAAGCTGCTCCCAGGTCCTGGTCGAGGGTGGGCTCAGAGGTCAGAGGGCTTGGTGAGCTGGGGCTAGAGTCCAGTCTGGGAGTCCGGCTTCTGAAAGTGAGACTGCCTCCCCACCCCCACGATTTCCTCCCCACCCTCAGAGGCCTGGGCTGGGTCTTAGACAAGCCGTTTTTGACCTTGATCTGCTCTGCCTGCAAAACTCAAGGGAGAGGGGACATGGACCAGGTCGGGTGAGTGAGACCCCCTCTCCCAGGGGGAAAAGAAACCCAGGAGTTCACCAGATCAGAGGCAGTCTGAACCTTGAGGGCTGGGACCCCCTGAACTTAGGCTTCTCTGTGAAACCCTGCAATGGGCATGGCCCTTGGAGAAATCCCTGTGGGTTCGACCACAGGCAGTCCAAAGATAAAACTTCATTGTGTGGACAAGATAAGCAGAACCACCTTCTCTCTCAGAGCATCTGCTCTAGTTGGGACTGTGTGCGCATGCTCAGGAGACAGATGATAAGAATGCAAACAAATAAAGGAACAAGATAATGTCAGTTTGTGTCAAGTGTGACAGTATATAACAAAGTGAGGTGAAATGAAGTGGTAGTAAGGCCCAGGACATTTTTAGACAAATATTTTCTTTCTCTTTTTCTAGCCTTGGGAGAAACTCCTGGTTTTGTTTCCAGCTTTATGCTGGGCTGAGTGTCCTGTTACACACCACTTTGTCCACTTGTGCAAGAGTCTCTGAGGCCACAGGAATCAAAGCCCCCTGAGCCCCAGTCACATGTCTCTTCTGCTCCTCACCATGTCCCCAAGCCCTTGGGTTGGTGCCTGGCACACAGTGGGCATTCAGTAAATGATGGATGGATGCTTGAGGTGTTGTCTAAGTTTGGGCTCTTCTAGATGCAGACACTGAGGTGAGGAATCGGAGGCAAATAGTTTCTCTAGAAGGTGATCTCAGGAAATATTAATGATAAGGCAATGGGGAAGGTAAGGAAGCCAGTAAAAGTTAATAAGAGTGCATCAATGGGAGTGAATGAGCAGGTTACCAATGTGGGGGCCTGGGGCTCCACTGTGCTGGAGAGCTCTGGGAGATGGTGGAAGACACACCTCCAAGTTGTCCCACTCCAGAGGCGAGGGAGTTGAAGCATTGATGCACCAGCTCCTGTCTGTCATGGCTGAAGGATGCTCTGGAGAAGGGGATGGAGGGAACATTAACTCCCAGGAACTTCTGACTTTCCCTGCATGTGGGGACTGTAGGTATTCAGGGAATACAGGGGAGGCTATAGGGCACCTGCCTCAGGTGTAGACATTTGAGTGCAATGTCTGGGTCGTCTGACACACGTACAACGCTTTTCAATTGTTCTACAGACTGTCCACTTTACATTCCATTGGCAGTTTGTGAGTTTTCATACATTGGTACTATCTAGGCTTTTAAACAATTGTGGAAAACACACATGAAACACAGAATTTGCCATCTTAACCATTTTTAGGTGCACATCTCAGTGGCAGTAATACATTCACAGTGTTGTGCAACCATCACCACCATCTATCTCCAGAACTTTTTTCATTTTGCATAACTGAAACTCTGTCCCCACTAAACACAAATTCCCCGTCCCTCTCTCTCACTCTGACACCCACCATTGGACCATCCATCTTTATGAATTCCAGCCCTCTAGGGACCTCATATAAGTGGAATCACAGTGGCTGCACCATTTTACATTTCCATCAAAAGTACATTCCAGTTTCTCCACATTCTCACCAACACTTGATATTTAATACCCAATTTTTAAGGTTCTGTGAGCCTAAGGTAGTTATCTGCTGCTGTGTAACAAACTACCCCCAAACCTAGCAGCTTAAGACAACAAGCATTTATTGTCTCACATAGTTTCTGAAGGTCAGGAATCAGAGAGACTACAATGGGTGGTTCAACAGTCCTTCTCCCCCATCAGCCAAGTTTTCACACGCTCAGAACCGCCCCCCCCCCATAATCTGATCCCCTCTCCAAAGCCCAGCTCTCCCAGAAAGCCTTTGCTGACTTGACTTCATGTGACTTGGGAGGGTGTGGAGAGTGGGGGTGCTCTGCCTTGCAGAAGGCTGGGTCGTCTCTCACGATAAGGTGATCTCTCTCCCTCTCATCCTTCCTTTCTTCCTCTCTTCCCCCAAACCGGGGGTCTACCCCTGCATTTCCAGGACTGCATTCTCCCACCACTGCCCGTACTCCAACCAGGCAGGGGGTTTCCGGGGGTCTGTGAAAAGCTTTTAGGTTTTAGGTTTTAGTTCTCCCCTCCGAGAACTCTGAGGGGGTCCGCCTCCGCGGTCGCAAAGGCAAGGACAGGGCCAGGGACACCGACCGGCCAGATTGGTTGATTGGGCACAAGACGCGATGGTCCAGCCCCCTGGTTGCCAAGGCTCAGCCTATCTGCGTCCAGGCGGGCCTTGGTTGCCAGGTGGTTGGGGTGGGGGCCCCGGCAGGTGTGGGTCTGTGGCAGGAGGTGGGGAGGAAGCTTAGGCCAGGTCGGGGACCTCAAGGGATTTCCCCTAAAGCTCCTCTGTTTGGGTGCCTGGGGTCCTTAGGCGCAGCCTCAGAGAAGCCACCCCTCCCTCCTACGCGCGCTCCCCTCTACTCGGCGCGCTCCCGCCTCCGCCTCCCGGGTCTGCATCCAGCGCCTTCCCTTCTCCCTTGCCCGCAGCCGAGGGGCGGGCCCGCTTCCCCGCGCCGCCGCCCACTCCCCCTCGCTTGCCCTTCGCTCGCGGCCCACCGCTGAGCTCCCACCCGGCCCCACCCCAGGCTACCCAGCGTGGAGCGGCGGGAGGCCGGAGCCCGAGGTGAGCTCGGCGCCAGCAGGTGGACAGGCGGCGCGGCCCAGGGCCCAGCTGGGGGAGGGGACGAGCTCGGGAAGCGGGTCTTTGTCTCCCCGAGTCCGTTCGCGGGCAGCCGGGGCCGCTCCTCCTCCCGGCAGGTGCCTGCATCCCTCAGGGAGGCCCGGGGCGGCGCTGGGGCCTGGCAAGGAGTCCTGGGCGTGCTCTCCCGTCCCTCTCATCTGGAACCTGTGGCAGCCCTCTGTCCCCGAGGATGGTGGTCAGGTTCCCCAAGGGGATGAGGGGGTGGATTTCGGATCAGGAAAGGGAGATGAGGCGGGAGAGGGAGGTGGGCTGAGGCAGGCTGGGCCTGGAGGAAGGCGGTGAGAGCAGGACTTGGGGACAGCCGTGAGCAGCTGCGATGGTGAGCCGTGGGTGGGTGGGAAGGAAGTGGACAGAGGCAGAGGTTTGGGCGCTCATGGGTGGCGACGCTGGGGAAGGAGCTGAGAGGTGCCAGGGCCCAGGTCCCTGCAGGCAGTGCAGAGGTCCAGGACCTCGGATGCTGATCAGTCTGTCTCCTCATCAGGTGCGGGATGGACAAGAGGGACAAGACCAGGGCAGGGGCAGCCGGGCGGACCCCCACTTCTCGCTCTCCCAGCCTTCAGATCCCCCGGCCCCCAGGGTCTCCAAGGCCCCCTCCCCCAGTAACCAGCGCGGCTCTCCGAGTTCTGGGAGCAGCGGGAGCTGCAGGGCGAGGGCCCCTGGCAGAGCGAGCCGGGGACAGCCGGGGAGCAGCTCTCCCGGAGGCTACTCCCCGGGTGGGATCTACGCGGAGTGCTGGGACAGGCCCCCGGAGCGCAGGTACCCTAGCCTCCTTCCTTGATTCCAACCCCATCTTCTTGCCCCCTTTTGTGCTGAGGCACTAGCCTCCCCTTCCTTTCTTGGACTTCTGCGTTGACTCGGCCTTCTCTCCACAGCCGCCAGGCCCCCAGCGGCTGGGAGAGGGGAACGCACGCCTGCCAAGACCACAGGCCCAGGCTGTATCTCTAGCCCGGGGCGTGCCAGCGGGCCCACCAGGTAACACGCCCTCCTCTACCCTGGTCCCTTAGGCAAAAGTTAGTGTCTCCATCTGGTACTTTTTAATTAAAGTGCATGGGAGCACTTGAAGATCACTGGGCTCAAATTGGTGAAAGCTATTACTGGTTGGCCGAGAGGACATCTGCTCCATTTTACAGACGGGGAAGTGTAGACTTGGGAACAAAACAAGAAGCTGGAGCTCTGAGCACAGCCGCCTCCCTCCCTGTTTCCAGGCAAGGCCCTCTTGGTCAGAAGGGGCTTCGGCTCCCATCTGAGGAACCCGTGGCCAAAGGAAAAGCCCCAGAAGCTCCCAGAAGGAGTGTCCTGAGTTCCGGGGCACGAAGAGGTATGTGACCTGGGGATGAAAGGGGTTTCTGGGTTGTGAAAGCGACCAGCGGGTAAGTATCTGTGACTCTTCGGCTTTCTGCTTTGTCCCTAGACTCTTCCGAGTCCACCCCAGGCGCCCCCTCCCCAGCCATCTCCCGTCGGTCACGGGCTGCGGGTACTGAGGTTGGTGTACCTCGGGTAGCTCCGAGTGCCCGGCAGCGGCCCTCGACCGAGGTTTCCAGGAAATCAGTGAGCAGCGCCCCTGAGCGCAGCACAGCAGAGCCGAGCTCTGCCGCCAGGAGGCGACCCAGCGCCGGCGTGGGCCTCCAGAGGCCAACCTCGCGCCCCCTGGGCTCCAGCGGCACCCCTCTTTCCTCCCCATCTCGCTCCGGGGCCTCGTTGGCTGGAACACCCCGGACTCTGGGGCATCCCTCCCAGCCCAAGGCGAAAGGACTGCAAGCTCAGCGTCCCCCGCAGGCCACACCGCCAAGGAAGGGCGCACCCCCTGTGCGGGACCTTTCTCCTCCTTTGGCCACATCTTTTCTGCCCTGTCCTACTGCACCGCCTCCCCATGTCCCAGAGACTCCCCTAAGGGACTCTCTTCCTCCGTCTCCACCGACCACCCCTCCTCCCCAGGCTCTTAGCTGTCCTTTGGCCACGCCCCCTCCACTAGCCCCTCCTTCCCTCTCGGCTCCACTGACTTTGCAGGCCCTCCCCTCTCCGCCGGCCACACCCCCCTTGCAAGCTCCGCCCACACACCTGAATACATCTTTTCCCGAGGCATCTGCCTCTTCCTTGGCCATGGCCAATTTTCTGGCTTCAAATTCTCCATCAGTTTCACCGTCTCTGCTGAGTATGTCCCCCACCCAGGCTTCTTTGGCTTTAACCCCTCTTCCGGCTCTCCCTTCTCCCTTGGCCACACATCCTTTGGCGAGCCCTCTACCACCAGCCACTGCCCCTCTACAAGCCCCTGTTCCTCAAGCAACATCTCTGAGGAACCCGCCCTCTCCCCTAGCCACACGCCATCTGCAGGCGCCCTCCCCTCTGACCACGCCCCCTCCGCAGACCAGTCCTTCCGTGTCTCCACCTTCTCTTCAGGCCACACCCTGTACACTGCCTCCCACAAAGGACCCTCCCCTGGCCTTATCCCCTCTACAGGCCTCTCCCTCTCTGACCACACTCTCTCTGCAGGGTTCTCCTTTAGGAGCGCCCTCTCCCTTGGCCACGCCCCCGCTACAGATCCCACCTCCTCTAGACACGCCCCTTCGACTGGCCACTCCTCCTACACAGATACCATCTGGGGCCTCACCACCTCTACAGGCCCCTCCATCCTCACTGGCCGTGCCCCCTCCACACACTCCACCTCTGACCACGCCCTCTCTACCACCCTCTCCCTCTCAGATCCTGCCCACTTTGCAGGCTCCACCTTCTCTGGTCTTGACCCCTCTTCAGGCCCCTCCCTCTCCCCCTACTTCACCCCTTCTGCAAGACCCTCTCTCTCCCCTGGCCACATCTCCTCTGCAAGCTCCACCTTCTTTGGCCTCGCCCCCTCTTCAGGCCCTTCCCTCTCTTGATTCACCCCCTCTGCAAGACCCTCCTTCTCTGGCCACGCCCCCTCTGCAGGTTCCACCTTCCCTGGCCTTGCCCTCTTTGCAGGCCTCTCCCTCTCCCCCTGCCTCACCCCCTCCGCAGGCCCCACGCCGACCCCCGACCCCAGGTCCCGATGCCCCAATCCCGGGCCCACGGCTGACCCTGGCGCTGGCCCCCGGCCCGCCGCCGCCGCCTTCGCGCA